TGAAAGTGAATCAGTGAAACAATTAGGACTTCTTGCCCCGAGGGTGCAATTACACAGAAGTTTTCTTCAGCAGCAAAACTTTAAGGAGAAAGGTTTAAGGAGTTCCTGGCTCTTTGGTCTCCACCCTGCCTGGAAAACTGGATTTCCAGTTACTGCAGTGATCCCATTTTATAGTATGTCTTTGTAAGTGATACAGGGGCACACAATGAGGTGGTGAACCATGGAACTTTAATCTCATTTTGTCACCATAGGTAACCTGATATCTTTGGTAATTCACATAATTCATGTTGTTGAAAGAGTCAGTTTTACTGGATACGTGTGGGGTGCAAGTCAGGACTGCTTTTGCTGGGATCCAATCTGTCCATTGCAAGTGGTCTGCCTGGTGCCAATATCCAAAGCCTGAATATCCTTCTCTCTGAATATCTCTGAATATCTGAATATCCCTCTCTCTAAAAGTAGTTACAGGTTACAATTACCCTCAGCTCAGGGTAAGTCTGTGTACAGATTCCTTCTGACTCGTGCTGTCCTTAGGAGCTACTGCATTAGCAGCTTTTGGAGCAAACTGGGAAGTTTGTGAGTTTGAGCAGAAAACCACTTCCCTGTCAACTGCTGTACAGTTTGCACTGAGAGCTTGCTCTTTACTAAGCAGGTTCATTTCCATGACCATTGGTGTCAGAGTACACTGAGACACTTGGATGATGAATGACGAGTCATGCTAAATGCTTTATCAGATTGCACAGTATCTCTGTAGGCTTCCTGTTGATGTGCTGCACAGTGTATATTTGATGGGCAGGAATTTGTTTTAGCTGCATTTTTTCCATATCAATCACTAAATGTTGTCTTCTTTCCTTTGTCTTCTGTTGGGCTTTGAGATCAGTTGCTCATCACCAGCTTTCTTTAAACATCCTTGTTAATGACAGCATTATTTATATTTATGGTTAGACTCCAGTTCTGACCCTTTTCTCTGTGTCTTGTTTTGTCTTTTCTTGGTATGTGGCCCTTCTGGGCTTGGAAGAGCTTTCCAGTCAGCCTCAGCCAAACTTAATTTCTTTTTTTTTTTTTTTGCCTTTCTCTGACTTAGGATTCACCTTCCTGTAGTTTGGATCTGTACTTGCTACTTGAAAATTTTTAATGGGAAAAATCATGGTGGAATTGTTATAATCAGACCTAATGCCATGTATAATATACACCAGAGTGCTTCATAGCATTATCTAAAATAAAGGTTTTATTTTAGGGAGGAATCAAAGATATTTTTTTCTTTTCTGGAGATGTTCAAGTGGATTTGTTTTCTCCTTGAAAATCTTGTAACTGTTAATACAGAGCAGGGTACCTTATTTCCAGTGGGAACCTCATCCTCTGGCCACTATGTTCTGTCTTAAAGTGAGATAGAGCAGTTTGCACATGGAGCACAAACCCGTAGTAAAACTGCATTTAAGCAGAAATCCAGCTGTGTTTGGATGTGCTCTCTCTTCCCCAGTGGAACCTGACTGGTCTGAAGCTGGCTCAGAAGCTGGCAGTCTCAGCAGTCATGCTGGTGTTTCCCAGCAGTGTGGTCAGTTTGTTAAGCACATCCTCTGGTGTGGTTTAGGCCCTGGTTCCAGTTCAGCTGGATTAGTTTCCAGTTAATTTTAGCAGTTATTGTATTGCTGGATTGGGAACAGGCCACTGTGCGAAACAGTCATTTCCCCCTTTAGATTCTGATTCCCTCATCTCTTGGTCCAGTATAATGGAGTTGGTGTGGGAATTTGTATCCTGAGGCAGAGGAGGTCTCACCCTAGTGAGTGTGTCACACACTAACTGAGACCTCTGGCATCAGCTTTGCATGGAATTGATCAGCCTCATGCTGCAATCCAGTCCTGGCCAGGTGTTTTCCTTGACAGCCAAATTCCTATGACTTCTCCTTTCAAAGTAGCTCCTACCTTGGCTGTGGGTTTCTGTTTGGGGATTTGGTTATTCTGTTGCTCCATGCCAGGCTTCCTGAGCCAGAATGCTGGAACACTGCATGGAGCAGTGCTGGGAAATGCAGCTTGGCTTTGTTCTGTGTATTCCCTGGTGCTGTGCTTAATGAAGTTGCAGTTGAGTTGTGAGTCAGAACCAACTCCCAAACTTACTGATTTGTGAGTTGGAAAAATCAGTTTCATGGTGCTGTGGTGCCAGTGGCCAAACCCTGAGCAGACAAAGAGGGATGGTCCCAAGAACACTTTTTGCAGCAGAAGGGTGGCTCTTGGATTGCTTCTCTGCTGTTTCCTGCAGTGGGCATTTAGCTGATCCCTTTTTGCTGTTCTTCTTTCTGCAGAGGACTGGCAAATTCCCCCACTTCTATGAACATCTCAATGTGACAGTGGTTTTAAAATAAATGTGCTTAAAAGTATCAGGCAGGACTGGGAGCAGATATAGCCTGGGTGTGAATCAGCCTTTTCACAACCAGGGCTGGCTCTGTGCATGCCCTCTTGTCTTCTACCCTCCACCCCCCCTTTCAGGGTTAAATACAACCTCTAACTTGGCTAAATAGAGGATTTTTTGACCAAATGAATTTGAGCACCATATGATCTGCCTCCTCATGTTCCCTGAGCCCTTTGCAGGAGAAGGGAAATGTTTGTGAACTAAGTCTGCTAACGGAGTCGTGGGTGGAAAGAGGACAAAACGAGTACGTGAAGAACCACATATTTTCACTGGACTTCTAAAACAAGTGACAGTTTGTTCTGCAGATTAAGGCACATTTCAGAGGAAAAACCTGAACAGTGGATGTGGAGGGGCTTCTTTGGTGGGATTTTTTTGATGTCACAGAAATTCTTGTCCCGAATAGGAAGCCTCAAAGTTAGCATGTACTCTTTAATGTGAAAACATGACAGGCTGAAGGCCAGGTGAGTCCTTATGACACACAGCAGAAGATGCTTTTCTCAGAACTTAAAGGTGAGATTTCAGTGAAGGGGTTCATCTCCAACATCTGAAATCTTAGCTTTCTTCAGTAAAGATATTCTTGCTCAGATGCAGGAAGTCCAATATATGTCCAAACAACCTGAGTTTCGTCTGGGTGGAACCTTTGGGTAAGACCCATATCAAAATTCACTACACATGAGTGTGTTTCTCTGCTTGGGTGGGGTAAAAGAAGGCTGAACACTGAATATTCTTGCATAAAATGTTGGGACGATGTTACGTAACTTCATTTCTGTATTTTTTAAAATTTTCCTCTGGGGTGTTTTGCTATTTTTGTTAGAGTCTTCTGTGTTAAGATTGTGTTCTCTGCAAATACCTTGAATTAAGCAAAGATTTTTTGGTAAGAGGAAGCTGAAGGTGCTGTTCAGGGTAACCAATTTATCTCACCATTTATTTTCACTGGGTTTACTGGATGTCTTGGTGTCCAGGTGAAGCTCTAGTGCCAGTGGGCCAGAGAAGATGGAAAGTGAGAAATAGTAGCTGTGTTGTCTGCAGCAAGCTTTTAGATGAACTCAGCATACACTGCTTTACACCAACTAAGGGACACTGTGCACCCTTCTAATTGTTTCCTGTGCAGTTTGAATTGTGCAAAATGAGCCTTTCCACGTGGTGTTTGTATTCAAACCTTGCAGCTTCTGCTTTCGTAGGAGAGTCCAAAAGGAAAATACTCTTCTGAGTGAAAACTGATCTGCACAATTGTTTTAGCCTAGAAATTCAGTGGGATAGTTAATAAAATAAATGTTAAACAGGAAGGGTTTTTTTGTCTACCTGAACCTGAAGGGTGAGAAGAAAATCAAACTAAAATCCTCTTTTGTATTTTTCACTTGCTTCAGGAATTTGCAAGGTGAAACTTCTAATTCTCCCATGGGCCAAATTCATGAGAGTTTCTGTTCTTCAGATCCAAAAATAATTTTCTCTTACTTTTTTGATTGTGAGTTAAGAAGAATTAACTTCTCTAAACTTTTCTAAAACTGAGCCCAACTTTTCTAAACTAGCTGAGTTAGTACTGGGGTGTTCTTTCCCTGTTTAGTTTACTGTTCAAAGACAAACAAAGCTGCAATTTGTGCTCTCCAGTTGTGCCTGCTTTTCTCATTCTTTAAGAACTTCCCAGTACTACTGACATTGCTTTGTGCCTATAGCTGTAAAAACCCTACTAGTCCCTATCCAGCCATTAAACTATAGCAACCCAAGTCTGAAGGGGCTAAATGGCACAGGCTTTGGAAATGAGGTTTAGCCATCTCATGCTGGAGCAATAAAAAATTCTGAGAAGTATCTTCAGTCCAGATGCAAATACAAAGAGGGCAGTACCCAGTGTCTATGAAAAGCAGGGCCTTGCACAAGAGGCTTGGTGCGAGTCACTGGTTCCGTTTATTCCTGGGTGCAGTTTGAAGAAGTGGTTTGCTCTCTAAAGCCTGGTTTGTCATGAAAGATGATGTAATTCACACCATGCTTGGGAGAGAGACTAAACATGCTTCTAGGGAAGGATCTAAGCTATTCCAGTTTTGTACACAGTGAAGAAGGGACTTATTGTCAGGATTCAGCCTCATTTGTTCACTATTTAATGATTTCCACTTTTTTTTTTCCTGTTAGGGTTGTACCAGCCCTTAACAGATGAGATTTTTCCTGATATTCCTCTGCACAGAATTTGTAAGGGCTGAAAAAGAGTACCTAATTTTATCAAGCTTGTTGCCTTCAGCTTGAGTCCTGGCAGCCCCCTGCTTTTTCCATTTCCCCCTTCAGCTTCTCCAGTACTCAGCACTAAGCCAGCTGTAGCATCAGTATCTACTTAAAAACCTTCCAAGTGTCGTGTGTGTACATTTTACATTTTGGCTTGTTCAAATTACTTCTCAGTTGCTTGTGTTCACAGGGGTTTTACAGCCCCCCTTGAGGCTCTGCTCCCAGGGGTGCATTGTTGCCTCTGCTTTCCTGCAGCAAAAGCTTCATCTTCTGACTCTGATCCTGACCATCATCAGTGAATTTCTTATATATTAAATGATGGTAAATTACACTTAACTGTGACTCAGTTCTTCTAGTTTAAACTAAGATGTTTAACTCTTCTCTAGGCTCTGTTTTGGATATTATCAAGCACATTGTGGCCAAAGGAGAACACAAGACTGGTGTCCTGGATGAAGCTTGTATAGCCACAATCCTTAAGGAGGTGCTGGAGGGACTGGACTACCTGCATAAAAACGGGCAAATCCACAGGTATTTTATCTTTTTCTCACTTTGTTGTAAAATGTTACTGGAAGAGAGTAGCTGAGCACAGAGTCTCATCCCATAACTTGCTGTGGGCATAAAGAGAGGAAAGTAAAGGTGGGAACTTTATTAAAATGCAGAATTCAAATATTTGTATTCTATGTGCTATGTCTATATTCAATGACTAGGCCAAATTTAGGTAAATTTTGGGGTGTTGAAAGTTCTAATATAGGGAATCTCTTTCTAAATGTCAGCATTCAGCTGCAAAGTGTAGTTGATGGAAAGCTGGAAAATTTCCACTGGTTTTGTTTCTTGCAGAGTTACAAATTACCAAAAGCACTGCGTAGGCAGAGTTGAGCAATTTAATAAAAAGTCCTTCCAGCTCTGATTTTTTTTTTTTTTGAGGTTAACTGCAAGATCGACATAATGAAATTTCAGTTTGAGTAATTTCATTAAAAAAAAAAAAAATAATGAAATTTCAATTTGAGTAATTTCATTATAAAAAAAAGGAAATAAAAATAATGGAAAAACTTCTTCTGTAGGCAAAACCCAGTTAAATAATGGCCTGTGATTTGACAGATCACTGAAATTCATGGATTTCTGTGCTGGTGTTTGTCTGGGATGTGTTTTATATCACATTTTCCTCTCTCCTGGTGTCAAGGTGGGGTGTAGTTCAGTAGGAGAAGATGCTAAGTTGATCTGTTCTGCGTTAAAAAGACTGAGATTTGCAATCCTAAATATGTGCTGAAAATAGAATATACTGCTTGTGGGTAATATACACAATCCCAGCCACAGACTGCTACTGGAACAGCCTCTTCTTTCTTGGGAATTTTGTGAGCTTGGCTCTGTTCTGGTACAATGCCATTATAAGCATTGCTGCTGCTGCTGTGCTGGAGTAAGTTTTTGTCCTCTTATAGGTGCACAAGAAGAGGTAATTTTTTTGTGGAAATGTTGCTTTAATTAGAAAATACAAGAGGTATTCATAGTTTCAATCAAACTGACTGGCTTTTGTAGGTTATTTTGGATTAAAAGGAAAGAAACAGTTGGAAATGATTCAGGTGGAATTCTTCTCCCTGAAAGAAGTATCAAATTTCAGTTTCCAGTCTCAACTAAAATTCTGATTTAACAAGAATAATTGTCTTCATTGGAGACAGTTTTGATTTCATAGCTGGTTGCTTGTTGCTTAACTTTGTTTTTTGAGATAAGACTTGAGGCAGCTCTGGGAATTTAGAGTAAAGTAATAAACCAACTTACTTGCCAATTACATGGCAGTAAGTTTTCACTTTGCCATAAGTAATTGACAGAACTGTGTTCGTCTGTGACCTCTGCAGTAGGTTTGCTTGGCTGATTTAGTTATCTTCTGGTCTAGTGAAATTGAAATATATAAGTTAAAGCAGCAGAAACCTGTAAAATCTCAGTTTCTTGGAAGATACTGCATAATGCTTCATGTATTGAAGAGAGGTGGTTCTCCATTTGGCTGGCTGGAGTGGAAAAGCAAAACTAGTAAATGTGGTAAAGATTAGAGATAATAAATTTATGTGTGTGGTGTGGGTTTTTTTTTTACTGCACTCAGCAAAAATATCGTGTTCACAAAATTCAAACTGCTGGTCTGAAGAAAATATGATTCATATTGAGTCATTTGGAAGTGAACTGGATCAAACCTGCTGTGACCATTCTCATCCTGCTCATCGAAGCATTTTGCCCAAACTTCAGCAAAGAAGTCAGAGCTGTGTCATTGCTGCAGCTTAAGGTTGTGGCTATGCTTCAGCCCCTTTGCATGTGTTTCATCCCTATACTTTGGAGCTGCTCCAAAAATTGTGTAATATTTTGTCATAGGAAAGGATTGTGCTGGGCACAGTGATCTGGGAAATTTGGATAAGTGGGATACAGAAGGAAAGTTGTGTGGTTTCCTACCTGTGATGCAAAGCTGTTTTGGCTGTTGGCAGAAGGCAAGCTGCCATGCCTTTGAGGGATGAAACATGTTTCCTTAATGGAGTTCATCATGCTGTGTTCCATTTTATCCAGATGTGTGTGTGCTGCTGAGGAAAACACAGTTTAAAGTTGTAGTGCAGCTGGGACCTTTCCTCATCTGTAGGAATATCTGTATGGTTTTCCCATTTTGCTTAATGCTAGGGGTCATAATACTGGTCATGCCTGATGGGAAAGGCAGGTGGAAATCTTGCAGCCATGCCTGAGATGCTCTCAGAGGAAGTGTTTAAAATAACTGAACTTTGGTCCCCTGGGTCAGCTTAAAGTATCTGGCTCTAAAGGAAAGCACATCAAGTGGTGGCTGAACTGCAGATATTGTATCTGTAGTGTGGGGCAGCTGTACTTGGGGTGAACTTCAGGCCAGAGCAAGATCAGCTGTGAAGGGTCAAAATTGAAGGGCTTTAGTTAAGACCTGGAACAGCCTGCCCAAAGCAAGCAGCCATCCAGCAGAAAAAAAGTTCAGCTGGTTACCCTAAATATCCAAACACTGCTTATATTACGCCTTGGAGAAAACAACTTGATAAAATTAGAGACACAGTATGAGTGAATGACTGTAATTAGCACATCTGAAGTTGGACAGGCAGGCCAGTGGCACAGCCCAAACGATGAATATTGGGTCCCAAATGTAATTTTGTGGGCATTGTAGACCAGAAGTGGGTCTGTAAATCACCAGTGAGATCAGAGAACATATTTCTGTCAGTGAAGCTGCTCAATACTTCTAAATTATGCATAAACTTAAATGGGTAAATGAAGTTAACACATGAAAAAATGGCTTAATGAAATTTTGCTGCTGCTGAATCTTGCTCTGCCTACGCCTGCCTTGAACTTAATGCCACTTCCAATTAAGGTTTGGGGAGCTGTCTTGGTGTGGAAGTGCAAATCCCTGCTTTGGACAGGAGAGGAGTTTGACAGTATTCTCTAGAGGAGATTAGAAAGCCAAATATCTAGTGAAGGCTTAAATTATAATTTTTTCTTGTTTACTTTCCTAATTAACAGCCAGAGCGAGTCTGAAACTTGAATAGACTCCATTGTTCAGGAATAAATGCTGAAGTCTCCCACATTGCCCAAAGTGATGGGTTTTTTTTTGCTTTCATCTTGCAAGGGCAGATGGGAAGTGTCTGAGGCCTTATGGCAAAGACAAAGGAGAAGACAAAATCAGTTTTATTTTCATGAACACTCTATACCACAGCAACAATTGATTACAAATGGTCCCCATCTTCCTCCAAAGCCACCAGTGCCAGCCTTATCTGGGAGTTAGCAGCTCCCTGCCTTCACTGCCCTGTGCCTGTCCCTGTCCTCCCCTCCCGTGCCAGCTGCTACTGTCCCTGTTGTGGTTTCCTGCGTAGCACGGTGATCCCAAGGAGGATTTGAAATCCCAGTGATCCAGCTCCTGGTCAGTGAGTTAAGTACCTGGGCAGCAGCCAGAGCGCTGGGGACAGAGGGCCAGACTCGGAAGCCCTGGGGTGAAGCTGTCCTGCAGGAATCTGCTCGGGCACATTTCTTTATGGAAGTCAAACAAGACTGACGTGCTGTCAGGGGTCGTTGCCAGGCTAATCTGGGCTGGGTGACACTCAGGGTATGTTGTACCTCTTCCCCATTTAGACTCTGATTCCTCTGTGTACTTGGGGATTAGCAAGAGTTTGATGAATGACTTAGAAATAAAACTAAAGCAAAGTCAACCCAAGAGGTTTTATTGCTTAAAAAGATTTATTGGAGGGAACTTCAAGGCTTTCTTTTTCAGGTGGTGCTGCGTATGGCAGGCTGACAAATAAATCATGCTGATTAACTGTTACAAGGTCTCTCTGTCTTTCTCCCTATTTTTATCTCTGAGCTTATCTTCTGTTCATGATTAGCTGTTGTGTAACTGAATATTTTAGTTAGTCCAGGTGAAATAATACACTGCTTAAATATAACCAGATTCTCCTATTGCAGCACAATAAATGTGATACTGTCCGGTTTTTTTGTAAAAACAAAAAAAAGCCTGGGAAGTGGTTTAGAGTTGCATGCTCTTGAACTATTGGCATGGCAGCAATCCAGCTATTAGTTTGTTTGCTGCTCTACTTCTTACAGAGTGAGAGGAGCAGCAACATGTTTTATGTGCTGAAGTAGATCAGCCTGTGCTGCCATACAAAACGTTTGGGGCGTTTTTGGTGTCTTTTCAAAATCAGAATGTGGGCAGCAGGGTGCTGGGACAGCTGTTTGAATGTGGCTTTGAAGAGACCCTGAAAACAATATTCTTGCTGTGTTTTTATGTCAGATAGGTTAACTTTTTTTTTTTTGGGACCTTAGGATGGTTTTGACAGGGAATCAAAGTTTAGTTCTTTGCCTCTTTGCCCGTACTAAGAGTAAATAACTTCTGAAAAATGGGCATCTGTCTATCTGCACATACACATCACCAGTACTTGCATGGGGGGTTTTGCAGGAGCTCATCTCCAGTAGCAAGTTTTTGATTTAAGATGAAGGAGCTGATGGATGTATTTTGGCAGAACTTGGCTGTCCTGTAGGATTCAAGTTTAATTTTCATGTAGCTGATTAATGCATTGATAGCCATGCTGGCAGGTATTGTGGTTAAACTGGATTCCAGTATGCCTCTGAAATAGTGTACTTTCATTTTTCTGTAGGAATACTCTGGGAGAACTTCAATCCCTCCTCACTGCAGTGCTGTGATCTTGCTTTGGGGATTGTGTTTGGAAGTGAACTTTGGTAGGGGAGGATTGAGGAATGGATAAGAGGACACAGAGCCTTTCCACCTCTACTTGCCAGTTTGATTTTCAGTCAGGACACCAGGAAAGTTGCTATTGCTTAGCTGTGGGAAGTGCAATTTTTTATCCAGAGAGGTGTATTTTGGTCTCTTATAGTATGGGATGGGTAGAACTAACCTTTAGAGCTGGTAGTTAATACAAATTCTAGAGCTTTAATTTGTAAACAATTCAGAAGCCAGAAGAATAGAAATGTTATCTTGTGTGTCTTAGTAGGAAGGAGGAGGAGAAGCTGCTCTAGATTGTACTGGGTGATTTGTT